ATCCATATAGACAGCATTTTTCCTGGAAAAAAAAATTCAATTACTTATGCTATTGAATAATTACAACTTCCATCATTCTTACACAGCAGCTATAAATACAGCTATTTAGACAAAATTAACTGTCCCTTATTAGACTTGCATTTTGTTTCATTTCAATAAATAGATTCCCGAAAGAAAGGAACCCTTTTTCTAATCTAGTTTCAGGTTCTCCAACTTCTGATCCTGAACCTTCATTTTGAGACTAGTAAAGTACATGACTGGCAAAATCTGAAACATTTCAATCTTCAGAAATATATATTGAAAGCATTTGTCATTCTTTTTCACCTGATGCTGAAAAATGGAAGAACGTAAAGCAAGTGTAGTTATATAAGAAATATGTCTAGTAGTTTTAGAGCATTGAATGACTGTATTTTGTATTCCGAAACAGTTGGAAGTGCTTTTCCAATAAAGTCCTGTGATTTCAGCACCAAGTTTTGAGTCTTAAATCTGTCTTTGGGTGACTTCTATGTATAGCTGTCTTACTAAAATATTGTTCTGCAATTTTTCACTCATAATTCAGACAGAGGGGGGAGTAGAAAATTCAGGGTTTTTTAAACCCTACATTCTAAGTCATTCATGGCATTGTGGGACTTCATGAATAAAGAAGTTAGATTGCTAACTTCTTTATTCATGGTATTATGGGACTTCACATACATAGCCTTGTATGAGGGTTTTATTTATTTATTTATTTATTTATTTATTTATTTATTTACTGTACTTGTATACCACCTCTCTCAGCCAAGGCGGTTTGCACAAGGCGGGTAGTTCTCAAAATGTACATGGGAGATTGGTGGAAGTGTAAATATGGCCAAAGGGTAGAAGGAGAAAGAATACAGTTGAGTAAACTTGTGAGAATAATGTTTTAAATCTGGTGGTGGTTGATAAACTAGTTAAGTGAACCATCAGTTTTTATTTATTGTTTTAAATTAATTTTATGTTAGCCACCTTAAGATCTTAGGCTAAATTAACTTGTTGATATCTTCTAGAACAGTGGTTCTCAACCTGTGGGTCCCCAGATGTTTTGGCCTTCAACTCCCAGAAATTCTAACAGCTGGTAAACTGGCTGGGATTTCTGGGAGTTATAGGCCAAAACCCATGGGGACCCACAGGTTGAGAAACAGCCAGTCTGATGGATGATGTTGATTTGTAGTGGTAGTGTATAGGTGGAAGTAGAAAGTGTAAATATCTGGCTTATAGGTTGTTCTTTGTTATTTGTGAGGAAACTTTTACAAAATAGTGCAATATTCAAATTTTCATTGGAAGTTTTGTGAACCAGTACTTTTCATATCATGATGTGTGCATCATAGTTTTAAATTGTGATGAAAGATTTAGTTATAACATGATATTGCTGCGTTGCTCTCATCTGGCCTATAAAGCCCCAAATGGTTCTGGCCCAACTTACCAGTCCAAACGAACCTCTCCCTATGAACCAGTTCGAGTGTTAAGATCTGCCAGGGAAGTCCTGCTCTCGGTCTCACCTCCTTCACAAGTGCACCTGGTGGGGATGAGAAACACGTCCTTCTCAGTGGTGGCCCCTCGGCTATGGAACTCCTTTTCCAGTGACATTAGACTGGCCCTCTCCCTCTTGGTCTTCAGGAAAAAGTTAAAGACCTAGCTATAGAACCAGGCATTTGGGAAGTAGTGCAGTATGGAATGTGACATTGTAGCAGCAGAAATGATGACTATGAGTCTAGGCACTATGTTTTAATCTGTTTTAATTGTATTTATATCTTTTTATCTGTTTTTGTTGCTCAATGTGTTTATTTGTTTATATTTGTAATGCGGCATTGAATTTTGCCATAACAGTAAGCCACTCTGAGTCCCCTTCGGGGTGAGAAGAGCGGGGTAGAAATACAGTAAATAAATCAAAGAGCATGCCAATCAGAGCCAATCCAAATGTGCAGAACGTAAAGTCAAAGGCTCTACTACTTTTGAATGCATATAAGAGGCTCCATCTTTTAAAAGAACCCATCCTGCTAAGTGAAGCCTTCAAGAGGATAGCTAGGTTAATCCTCACAGATTAGTGAAGCTCACTATGTGACTTTCTTTTAAACGAGATTCTTAACTTGTAACCCATGGCCTTCTTGAGGTCCTTCAAGGAGGAATCAAAATTGAATTTTTTCTTTGACTTCATTCTTCTTAACTTGTAATATTGCATTTGTGGTGGGGTAGGGAGACTTTTGTGTCAAAAATGTTATTTAAGTATTGTTTCACCCCAAACAGGTGAAGGTAGCACAGTATTCTACTTATCCACATTTGTTTAAAGTTGTCACTCCCATAATTTGAGGAAATGATCCATAATTTCTGTCAGATTCCTGAAGGGAGTATGTGGCCCCAAAAACTTTAGAACATAAACACCTTTTTCCTGCCATGCTAGATTGCTAACTTCTTTATTCATGATGTATTCCAAGATGTCCAAGTGCCTGGACCAAATAACAGAATAGTGGAAATGTCCATAAATTGTTATATGTGGTATTAATATTAGAACCAAATCAATACACTTGGTTTTCCAATTTACACTGAGGGGGTGGGGATGGTAGTATAAAGTTTATACAAAGTGAAAAATCCGATTTCTTTGAAATGGAAAGGAAATCTGTTCTCTGCTCAATTTTAAGAAAATAGGTTTCTCCTTCTTAAAAATTGCTTCATGTGATTACAGCTATGCTGCAAATGCCATTTCACTATTGGGAAGGACTTTAAAAAATGTCCCTCCGCTTTATTTGTGCTTCAGGTCAGATTAACTAAAATGGTTATTGTGTCACCTAGAAACTCCTGACGGCTTCAAGGCCAGACTTTTTAAAAAACCTATATATTATTATTAAAAAGGCCAGCAGCTACAAAGACCATTTTACCATTTCTGCGACGTTTTCATAGCAATTTGATCTTTACACAGTTTTTAAAAAAAGAAAATCTTTGTACTTGAAGCAGATGGGAAAATCGAAGAAGGAAAAATGGGCTTGAAAAGCTTTTTGGTTGACTTCTGATCTCAATACTTTGCCCTTTTAGTAATGTTCAGAGTTTAGAGAACTAGTCTGAGACCTGGTGGGCCAAATTACTTCCTCTGGTTGAGGAATGAATTGAATTCCTACCCAATAAGCAGCTGTGACAGTTGGCTTACTGTCAAGCACATCAAGAATTACAGGCACATAGGAAATGGGTATACATATGCATGCTAACCAGAATTTGCAGTATAGGAATACTTGTGTGTGTGTGTGTGTGTGTGTGAATTAGCATTTCCAGATATATATGATCTGTTCTCAAACAGGGAGAAGGAGCTATCCATTCATTAGTTAACTCCAGATGCCACCTGGGTAAGGCAACGGATCAGGATTTGTCTTTGCATCTCTTCTCTTCTTTTATGACAGTTCACCATAGGTTACTGGGCCCTGTTTCGAGCTTAAATTATTTTTATATGTTACTGGTTTTATCTTTTATTGTATTGTATGTTTATTTTATGCTTTGTTTTAAGCACATTGTGCCATATGTAAGCCGCCGGAGTCCCTTCAGGGAGATGGAGGTGGCATACAAAAATAGAGTCGTTGTTGTTTATTTTCACACTTTTTGGTAGACAAGTGCTCAATGAAGTTCTGTTGGAGTGGTTTCCTTCTCTTTCCATTACCCATCCCAGAGCAACTTTGTGCTCAGGTAATCCTCGTGGATAGATGGTCCCTTCTCCACTAGCTGAAAATGATGCTTTGTGGAGCTTATTGTCAAAAGTCCATTCTAGCAACAACAAAACAATCCATCAAAAAATCTAGTCCCAGCTTGGTAATAAGACCTTTTTTTCCTTTTCCTGGGATCTTTCCTTTTCTATGTTTTTCATCCTTCATGACTTGAGAATGAACTAGGGATCCAGTACTGTATTAAAACAATATCTGATCCCTTGCCTCGCTTGGGTAGGGACTGGAGTCAGCCCATAAATGTATGGTCCCTTCTCCTAGTCTAGAATGGACTTTCACGATAAGTTCCCCACTGTCTCATGTCCTAACCTTGCTTGTGGTACAGTACTTTTTAGTGGAATTGGTTGGTATGTTTTGCTCTTATACTGCAGATTTCTCTGGGTGCATTCTTTTCTGCACATGAACAAAGCCCATTTACTTACGAGTGTGAAGTGATATCAACCTGTTATACATGATATCCAAAATGGGATGTGGGTGCATGTCTGTATTACTCATTTTCTATAACTCTGAAGAAAAACTGAAGTGCATATTTTTATATAGGTGCTTTCAGGATAAGTATAAAACTCAGTTCAATATAATTTGTTTATGCCAGCCATAGATGCAGGTGAAACGTCAGGATAAAATGCTGCCAGAACACAGCCATACAGTCTGGAAACCACACAGCATTTCGTTTGTTTATGTTTAAATTCTGCTTTGACTAGTTTGGTCTATTACATACTTACTTAGGCGATCCCTCATCTGAATATGATGGCCTTCCAAGTGTAGTGTCTTGGTGATGGATACATAGGTGACTGGCATCCTATTCTTGACCCGCATGTTCTTCCACAACGAGGGCATCGGTTTCCAGGTGGAAGGCGGTCCCAGTCAAGGTTGGCTTGACATGCCTTCCTCTTGGCACATTTCTCCATTTTGCCTTCCATTTGTGCCTCTTCAAATTCCTCAGCACTGCTTGTGACATCTGACCTCCCGTTGGAGTGCTCAAGGGCCAGGGCTTCCCAGTTCGGCTTATTCTGACACAGAGAAATTCTTGATGTAGGTATTTTAATCCTAATGTGTTGTGATCTTGAGTATATTGGCACTAAGTATACATTGTGCTGCTTGTTGCTTTAGAAAGCTATATAGGTTCAAATTGCAACATGGTAGATTCTTCATAATTGTAACGCTTCTCACACAGCAAAATCAAGGGAAAGTCAAAAGTCTAAGCTGATTGAGCCCGGCTGTAACTTAGCATACTTAGCATCTACCTTATTCCTTAACATTTCTCTTTTCCTTTTAAATTAGTTGCAGCAATTAGAGTTTGCACAGATGCAGCAAAGGGATGCTAATCTTGCAGCTCTGGCAGCTATTGGGCCAAGAAAGAAGAGGATGCTGGATTCCTTGAGCCTTGCCTCTGGAGTGGAGGTACGTACAGTACTGTCGTGTTTGCTCTTCAGGTTACAAATCATCCAACTGATGGGCCTTGTTTTTCCTTTTTGTAGAAGGCGTTCCCTCCTTTGGGGCATCTCATATAGCTGAGTAGTTTTATCCTTTTTATAGTAAGTGAAGCAATGGTTAGGCATCAAGAGAAGTTTGCTCAGTAGTATAGTATATTCAGTTGTGAAGGATCATTTTAGTGCTCCTGCAGAAAAATGCAGTATGAGTGCAGATCAGTGAACCTCCACTCTCTGTAAGTGTGATGACTGTGATTTAAAAGGAAATATCAGAGTGCTCCTTGTACAAATGTCAGTTCACTCTAGTTACTATGTATTCATAAAACATGTCACATATCTTTTCCCACCTATTTCTTCCATGTACAGTAATTCCTCCATATTTGTGGTTTGAGCTTTTGTGGATGTGATTAATCACAGATTTGATTTGAAATGTTAGCTCAAGGAATGTCTAGTCCTTCATTGTTACACTGTGGTCACTTTCCCTCAGTCATACCAGAGGACCTACAGATTTCTAGAGAAAACATCTCTCTAGGAACCTCTAGGTCCTCCATTGTGGTTTTTATGGTCAGTTTCCAGTGAAAGTTTACCATGGAATCATTCTATAAGACATAGAAATTCCTAGGACAGGTAGTCCCTCATGTAAAAAAGCGTGACTTCTTTATTTGTGGTTTTTCAATTTCATGGGTGCCTTGTGCTCCTAACACCTTTCAATGTGGAGGGCTGACTGTTAAGTTATATACATTTTAGAACACCAAGCTTGTGTGGTTATTTGTTTATTGGGGCAAGTGTGTTCACTATCCAAAACACACTTTTTGTTATAAAGCCTTATGAATGCTCATTCACATTACGGTAATTGGGAGAAAATTAGCACAAAGGTGAGCATCAGTCAAGAAACATTTTTCTTGACTGATGCTCACCTTTGTGCTAGTTCAATGAGATGTTTCAAAAGATATAAAATTACTCTCGAAATACATCCAAAAAAAAAAATAGAGAGGTGAACTGCAGAAAACAACCACCCCCCTGTCCAACCTATAAAAAGTTTTGCAAATATAGAAGTTCACCTAAAAAATTTTCAAAATTTTCTTGTCGTTTTCAGCTATTTTTACCATCACAATTCTGGCATATTCTAAAAATGTAGGGAGATGGGGCATGTGACAAAGGCACTGGAATGAAAAGAAACAAAATTCAGGGTTTTGAATTTCTTTTGTTAGTGTCACTAAAATGTTAAAATCATTGTGTGCAGTTGGGCACCACTTTAACCACCATAGCTTAATCATATGGAATCCAGTTTTGCGAGGCATCAGCACTTGTTGGTAGAGTGGGCTAAAGGTGTTGTAAAACTACAGTTCCCAAGATTCCAAGCATTGAAATTGGTATCAAATTGCATTAATTCTGCAAAGCAGATGCACCTACTGAAAAAAATTAATGGGACAGTTGAACCTGAGTATATGTATTGAGCCAGTGTTGTGTAGTGAACATAGAACTACAACTATGCTGAAGTTGTGGGGAGGTGAGAGCAAGTAGAGCTATAACTATATCTGCTGCTTCTGTTACAAAGTGGATTTCAGATGCTTTGAACATCTGTGCAGTTGAGATTTGAGTGATTATGCCTGATTCCTAAGAAGAAATATCTTGAGCTTTAAGGTCTGTAGAAGAGAACAGATGAATACTACTTGTGATGATCTGCTTTTTAAAGCAACTATGGTAGAACAACATCTTCACTTCGCAACAGAAGCAAATTAATCTGTAGATAGGGATGCTAACCTGCCTGTAAGCTTGGGTGTGTACCTTGAAATTTTAATAAATTAGTGGCTGTCTTCTTAATGTATGTAGCATGAGCTTTTATCTCCCTTAATTACTACTAAAAGATTTGAAATCATGAGCTTGGTACAGCAACTTTCCCAGGTCCCTCCCTTTACCATTAAGCTTTCATTAGGTAAATCATTGTGTTTACTATTGGTAGGCAAAGGCTACAAAAGAGCAAGGTAGTAATTATTGGTCGCTTTTACTTTTATATGATTCTAGAGGGTATATAATGGCTGCCCCTTGGACATATTCTTGCTGTCACTGATGTGGCTCACACCATATTAAGCATTTGTGTTGTAATCTTACCTAACACTGTACATGGAAAAATGCTCATAGCAATGGAGTAATGCATCAGAACAATAGTACTCAACATTTCATACTGCATTAATGGAAGCACTCATTAAGACAACTTGTACATACCATTTTTATGTTTATGGAAGTGCATATAAAATATAGCAAGTTACTGGTGTTTGATTATGAAAGCACCTCCCAGTCACTTTATTCTCTGCAGAGGTGTATCTGGATTTGTCACAGTGAACACTTACGTCTTGTCTACCATGTGATTATTCCTATGAAGTGTGAATATGTGTGTGTTGCATTGAGATATTTTCAGCACATGACTAAAACACCATATGTTTTGGCTTTCAAAGAAAAGTGTGTTGACCATATTTTGAATCCAGATATGAATTGACCTGGAGAAGGCTCCTTTCTTAAATATAATTTTGTCATGTATAGTTGTCCCACCACATTTGCAATTTTGACTTTTGTGGATTTGATTATTCATGGATTTGATTTAAAATGTTCTCTCTAGGATTCTCCAGGTCATTGGTGTCAAACATGTGGCCATCAGAGTGTTTTGGACTTTAGTTCCCACAATTCCTGGCCATTTGGCAAGCTTGCTAGGGCTTCTGTGAGTTGGAAGCCCAAACATCTGTAGGGCTACATGTTTGACTCCTCTGCTCTAGGTCCTCCATTGTGGTTCTATGATCAGCATCCAGCAAGGTGGGACTGAAAGAAGGACCCACCCAAAAAGCTAAGAGCATGATACTTCAAATATTCTGGACCCAAGCCACTTATGTGAAGGCCTTTATCACACAGAGGTGGAGACTAGCACAGTAAGAGGACCATCCTCTTTGGAAATGGTCCCTATCACACGATGTTGTGTGATACCTTATAACTGGTCCTGCCACAACCCTGCTCGCAAACATGTACAAAATCTTCTGGTTCATTTCACTATATAATCTGTTCCATTCCTGCAACATTTCACTGCCTCCTGGATCATTCCTAGTTTATGGTACTTCTGTGCAGTCCATTTACTCAGATCTTACAGGTATGAAAGAGCTAGCCAGTTTGCTCCAGTCTGTTTGTGCTTATATAGCTTCACTTGGAAATTATTTGAAGATACTTCACTTAAACTATTCTGTCACATAGTAAAATCTTACAATTGACGCTTATTGTGTGCTGGGGATTGTGACAGATGTTTTAACTGAAATGAATGATGAATCCCTGTTGAGCGGTTGGGGGGGGGGGGTTACTAGTTGAAATGTAACAGGTATGTATTGAAAGTGGATCAGAAAATGTGTACAAACATGTGGTTGTATATAAAAAGAGTTGTGATCTTCAAATATTTCTCAAAATCAAATAATCTTTTGGATTTTGTTTTTAAAGTAGCAGCTGCTTGCAGTACATGCAAACAAGGAAAACAAAACATCCTAATAAATAAACAGCATTCTACTCTGTTCAGAGATGAAAGGATGGCCTTGAAATAGAAGAATATGGCTTCAGGGTCTGTATATACTAGGAATCCCCGGAAAAACTGAAAAATTTAAATATGTAGAACTTGAATCACTTGAGTACAAAGATGCAGGTTTTCAAGGCAGATGTGAAGACTACAGCAGGTTGACACACATGTCTCATTCCAATTATTGATTATATCACTCTTAAAGCAGCATAACCTGATCCTCTGGAACTTTTCCATTAATTCGGGTATAAATGTTCAGTGAGTAACAAGGCATCTTGATATTTGAATATTGGTATTTAGGTCAGTAAGCTGACTATGATGTTCTACAAAAAATTAAAACCTGAAAAGAGCCAAAATTAGATATTCCTTCAAAGAAGATAGCTCTCTTATTGCTTTCTTTTAAAGGATGATAGGTTCTGTTCAAGAGGTCACACTTCCCCTACGGGAGTCTTTGTTAAGGGTCCTTCAGTATTGAGAACTAGGCACCAAGCATTCTTTAAAGTGCTAAGTGACTAGAATTTTTAGCAGTGTAGCTCATCACTTTAGATTGTACTTTCCAACTCAGACTCAACAATTAAGAAGAAAGTCATACTTTGAAGAAGGTATTGGCAGGTTCAGAACAGATTTGACTTGAATTGAAATTTCATAATAGTAAATTATGGAAGGAGTCAAAGTTCTGTTGGGGCATTATATCAATGTACCATATCTCCCATGAGGACAAGGAAGAACTTGAATATCAAGTGTGACTGGTTGGCGCAATTCAGTCTTCACTGCAGCATCAAAAAGACAAGAGTACCCTGGATTTCCGAAGACCAAACCTGGATTTCCGAAGACCAAACAGGATTCTTGCCCAATAGACAAATAAAGGACAACACCCGCATAATTATAGACACCATAGAGTACTATGAAAAACATAATGAGAAACAGCTCGCCCTTTTATTTATCGATGCCGAAAAGGCGTTCGATAAAATTAATTGGGATTATTTAAAACTTCTACTAAAAGAAATTGACATTGGCTACAACTTTTACAACGCAATAGAGGCAATATATACAAAGCAAGAAGCAACTCTAATTATAAACGGGCAAGAATCAAATACTCCCATCCAAATTTGCCAAGGCACACGCCAAGGGTGCCCACTCTCGCCACTGTTGTTCATATTAATAATGGATACTTTAATTAAAAATATAAACGAAGATCCAAAGTTACAGGGAATAAGAATCAAGAAACACCAATTCAAACTCAGAGTATATGCTGACGACATGGTTTGCATCGTAGAGGACCCGCTGGTAAGTATAAACGATTGGATAAGGAAAATTGAAACCTTTGGAAATCTGGCCGGATTCAAATTGAACATGCACAAAACCAAAATGTTAGTCAAAAACATGGACAAAAAAACTAAAGACATACTGCAAGACAAATCTGG